AATGCTAAATTCGGAAGAAAAAACATATTGACACCCTGTTTGTTTTAAGGGTCCTCTATTATGATAAATTGTTTGGGGATCCTAATTTCATATTATCTGAAAAATATTTAGGGTTAAGTACATTTCCTTTAGAAATAGCAATATTAATTCTTAAAACTTAATACTACTAAGCCAATGGTTGGCTTGCTGAGCGTATTGATAAGTATGGGTTTCTATAGTTCTTCTTCAAAAATCACAGCTTCCCAAAGCCATCAATTCCCTAATCAATCCTTTATGTAAAGATTGCTCCTCAACAAATGTTCAAGGTAGTAGACCAGGAAGGCCCGTGATCATAGTAATTCTTAATACTACTAAGCCAATGGTTGGCTTGCTGAGAGTATTGATAAGTATGGGTTTTTATAGTTCTTCTTCAAAACTCACAGCTTCCTAAAGCCGGCAATTCCTTAATCAATCCTTTATGTAGTCGTATGAAAGGATTGCAAAGAATACCTAATGACAAAGAAGTTTAGAAAAGAAACTGAATACTACAATCAATTACAAAAAGGAATCCTCACAGGAACCCAGATTTGTTTTGGTGGTAGTTCATTATAGAGGATCCCCCATTTGTTTGAAGGGGGTGCCCTTTTACTGATCAAAATCCAACATTAGCAGCTAATCATTAGCAAGTCTGGGCTTGTAGGCTTCTTCTTCCATACCAAAAAGACTTTCGTGCCAAGCGAAGCTCTCGTTCATTAAAGCACCCTCTGCCCGTTGCTGGCTTCTGCATGTAACCCTGCCGTGGGATATATGTTGGAGCCTTGCTACAGTATTTTGTACACGCCTTTAGGTGCACTAGATCTGAATTTTGCACAAATAGACCAAACCACCTTGCTCCTTGTATGATAGACGATAACAACTATGTATCCATACATCATTGTGCAGAATGTCGAACCTGAGGTCCGTCTGCAGAACCTGCATCAATATCTGAGAAGATTGGTTTGCTTGGTTCCCACACGTGCCATCTGGTTGAACTCTTGCCACGCAAGCAGGCAGCCACCGGTCACCGTGTGTGGCAGACCAATATCGGCAGCCTTAGTCACCAAGACTTCCTACATTGTAGGTCATTGCAGGTTCTCTTAATAGTCGTCCACTTTTCAAGCTATGGCATCTCAACTGAGAAAGGAAATATATACCGTACAATTACTTTGTAAGTTGATCTCCTCATGAAAAGACCCCGGTTCTAAATTAAATCAATGATTTGTTGCGTGGGCTAGCTGCCTGTGTCTATCAAATCATGTCCCAGTGGCGCATTCCTTTCCCGACGTTCAGTGTGGCAGGCAAAGTCTCCGCCGCTGCAGCAGTTTGAAGCCTCGGTTCAGGATCCTGAACTATGAAGCCCTATGAAGCTCTACTGCTCGACCCTGAACACGGGCCCAGTTGACCAAGGTGTTTCAGTTCCTTATGGCGGGGTTGGGAGGCAAGTCATGAATGACGCCGTTGCCTTGGTGGTTCTCTCGCTGATGTGGGTGCGCATCAACATCTATGCAAGTGCTGTAGATACCTGCTAGATCCTGCTAGGTTGATACCCCCGGAGTGTCAACCACATTCAAGAGGGAATGAATACAGTCCGCGAAGGATAGCTTTTTCACCTGTGAGTTGCTTGCGTTGACATTCAACATGTTGGATGCTCTGCATCGGTATAGGGTTCTCGAAGCAACCTTCTCCCTTACATTGTTCCACTGGGATTTCACACCTTGGACAGTGATTCATTGTGGGACATGAAGTAGCTACACCGTGTAGGCTACACCCAGGCGCTGTCTCATTCCATGCCAAACCTATGCATGCTTCAGCCGTCCGGCGTTACCTTTGGGGGGTCGATGCTTCCATGATGCTTTAAGACTTTAAGAAAAGCGAAATACAATTATAAAAGACTACACAATTACATCAATGCAAAGCACATTATATTCCGATAGTATCAATATAACCAATCTTTCACTCGTTGCTTGCACTGGCAACAAACAGCCCATCAATGTTACAACAAGGTGCTTGCGGGATTGACTTCGCGTATCACTCCGCTGAACCGGAGGACTGGCTTCTGCCTGGGCCAAATTGAACACATGTTTGACAAACTAATTTGTATGTTTTCTTGTTTGCTGAACTGAGCAATTCCCATGTGCCACAGGTATCCACAGGTCCAACATTGGCCAGAATGCTGGAGTCTATAGATGGGAGACTTGAGAAAATATTTCACTGTGCACATTCTAAGTTGCACCCAAGTGTCGGTTGAATATCCCTCCACCACTACCTCTTTCACGACCTTTGGCATGGCCGTGTTGGCCGCAGCAGCTGTGGCCTCTGTGGCCTGCATCAGTGTGCTTCAAAGGAACTTGTCGGGATATGAGTGATGTGTCAAGCCCTTCTGTGTTTGGCAAAGCCCTGTGTTTGGCCCCACTCAAATTGAAGCATCTCAATCTGTCGCCGTCGCCTCCAAGTCTCGAGTCACCTGTCTTTTCAGCTGTTGTTGCATCCTTGGCGAAAGCAAAGGGGCGCTTTCTCGGCCATCAACGGAATCCGAATCATGCAGCCCAGCCTTTCCGTGCAACAAAGGCATGCCCGATCTTGTGGCACCAACCTTTTGGAGGATCAACCTTTTGGATCGTGTGGGGCCCTGTTGGGCTCTTCCATGCTAAACAAACGTACATCCCTACAACCAGGGTCCAACCATTGCGTCTAGACTCTCTGAGTCAGGTTTCCCTGAATTCTGGCGTGCTGAAGGCCACTGGCAAAAGACATGCAAAGACCATCTGTCCTACACCGCTGCACTCGGTGAGCCGAGGTTCTCCCGCAGCATCTGGAATTGGGACTCGTTCTGCAGTTTCTGCATTTCGTTTTCTCCAGAAAGCTGCCTCCCAACACAGAATCGCAAAGCGGGTCGACATTCCACTACATGATCAGGTCAAACATTTCCACTTTGTTAATTGCGTTGCTCCTTTACAAGGCTTTTTTGGGGAGCCCAACCTCCCTCGGCTGCGCTTGCTTACGGTTACAATGCCGATGGGTATAGTATTGCTGAGTTGTCACTTCTTGCATGTTCCTGCGGGAGACTGTGCTTTGACTCTTCTGAATAGACTGAGACAGGAGGACACAGCAGGGAACTCATCTGTTGCAAGATGTTCAGATTGTTTGAGGGAGCTATGGAACACCATGGAACACCTACTGTATATATATTACCGATATTTACCGATAATGCCTGCAAGCCAACTCAGTCGACTACCGACCGTTGTTTCAATAGGTGGCCAGGTCAATTTGCTGCTTGGCAAAAATAGGGGCTACAAACATTTGTCTGTCAGTCTGCTTCCGCAGCTGTCCCACGCCTTAACTTTAGCTGCAAGTCTTGAACCCTCAGCTTCAACGATGCTGGGGAAGTGTTGCACCAGTCTTACATGTCAACCAGGCTTAGGCCAGTTGGAAATTGCAGGAGATGAGTATACAGAATATGGGGCCAAAGAGCAATAGCTTTGTTCTCTGCAGCTCTTTTGGCCAAGGGACTGCTGCTGCAGCTCATGTGACGGCTCTGGTTTTGCGACCTGGCATCAAAAGCTCTGAGTGAATAAGCTGCAGGAAGACACAGAAAACCATATTATATATATAACCCTATGTTTCTAGTGCTCAAGCCGATAATTGACACCAAACACATGTGAGTGCATTGCCTGTACCGAGTCTGTACAGGCGCTGATGCCTTTGCCATACAGCATCACGCTACATTGCCACGTGTTTAGCTTGACAAAGCATGACAGAACAATTTCTTTTGCATCAGCGCATCGCGCTGATAGATGAGATCGTCACATCGCAAATTTGAACATTGGTGAGCTTGGTAAACATCATAGCAGGACTACGATCTTCAAGTTGGCCTTGAAGGACGAAGGGCTCAAAAGCACCTGGTTGCTGGTAACCTACCTTGAGCCTTGAACCCAGGTGTCTGGCCTCTACAGCGTCTTGCACTGGCGAGGCAGTCCTTGGAGTAGTGGACCCGGGGGCAAGCTTCGGAAGGCTTCTGACTAGTCTGCAAGCACATACGAAATCACATCTGCAAACTATTCCAGGGCTTGAAAAGTTCGTCTGAGCAATTGCAGCTGACAAGGTGTGTCTAAGAATATATATATATATGCCGCGCGTGTGCAAGAAAAAGTTCTTCTAAGCTTGCCAAGTCCAAAAGACATATACCATCATATATATACCGCATATACTATGCTGTACGAAAGTAACACCCTCGATACCCTCGGCACGTCGGCATGTGTAAAACCTTCCGCACACTCACCGAGCTCATCGCGGCTCAGCCTTCTCAAGCCTCTCCGTTTTCTCTGGCCTCGGTGCTCCACGTCCCACTTTTGGGACCCAAACTTCCAGTCAAAAGCCCGCTGGGCCCAAAGGTCCATACGGCTACCAAAAACACAACTGTTTGCAACCCACTGTGCGCACTTCAAAAAAAGTTCTGAATATTATTGCATAAGGATATATAAGGCCATCAATCGTTTCAAACAGGCACATCATGCCTGTTAAGTGGAGCTGGACACACGAAGGGCTCAGCTGCCAACAAAAAGGGCCACCAGCTTGCTTGCGAAGTCTCCTGAGGTCTGACAAAATGAAGATTGATATTGATGGTCACCTGGCCCGTCTCCTCACAAACCAACAGTTCCAAGTGGACTCTAATTAAAAAGGAAGTCCTTCGGCTCACTTGACTGGTTGCCTGCATCCTCTGTCAGGTTTGAAGGCTGCCTGGCTGGGGGCAGCACAGGAAGTGTCTCCAGCTCTCTCAGACAAAACACTCTCATGCCAATCATTCTGCGAAAATTGTACATGTCAATCAACGCAAGGGGCCGTTTTACTTTGTCCGATGGGTCCCAGCCATTCTGTGCCATCCTGTTCTACATCTCTACTGCAGATCCCACCTGACTTGGCATGAATTGCAGCGTCTCCGAATTGCTTGGACCCAAAAATTAGTGTCCTCACTGGATCCCTCTCTAGCCAGATGTGTCCATCGGCGCGGGAGCATCAGGTGCATCGCCCGATGCTGCTGCTGGTGCCGGCTCATCTTCCATGGGCTCATCCTCCTTCTTCTCGAGGCCATCAATGAATTTCTGCATCTCCTGCAGCCCGCGGGTTCAGCGGCCCAAGGGGACCAGGCAGTTTCATGAGACAAACGCCCTAAGAGGCAAACGAGTGTCAATCGCATTCAATCGCTACAAAGCAGCCATTGCCATAGTATCTGGCATGAAGAATGTCGCTCTGGGTTACCCTCATGATAGAGACAAGCACCAGCAACCAGTATATAGCATGATCCACAACTACCTTAAGTCAATTCTTTCATATTCTTTCACTTACTCTACGGCTCCATGTATTATGCTTTCCCATACGCAGCCACGCCCCTTTGCAGCGTATTCATCATTGTTTCTTTCTCCTCACTCGAGAGCTCCCTGTATTTGTCCGAGATCACCGCCACGGTGGTGTTCTTGGTGGTGAGCGACTGATCTGAAGAGGTTGTCTTGTTCCTGAGGAGTGCCCCTCGACAGGCACGTTCGGCACGTTCTGTGGACCATCCAGAACAACACACATACAAATAAAGAGCCATGGCGGTCGAATGGCCCTGCCAGAGTCTAGATCATGGGGTGTAACTACAGTTTTTTAATCAGTTTAAATCACCTAGCAACGTAGTAGTAAACAGCACTAATCAACAAAAAAGTGCAACATGCAACGAACTGGGAGACAAATCGACCAAACCAAATCACCTGGGGCTTCAGATTTACACGATATTAACGGACGCAAATCATGAACTGGGCATAGAACATCACAAAGAGGCAGAAAACTGATATGCCAGCAGTTGCCATGTTTCATCGCCTCCAAGCCATGTTTGATAAGAGCATCCAAGTCGGCCGACTCGAACTCTTCGAAATGTTTCTCCAAATAAGTTTTTGCCTTGGAAAGTGTGTCCAGCTCTTTGCCCAGCTCTGTCTTCCAGAAATTAGCTGGGGCGTGTCCCCCACAGGACCCTAACAACTCATAGCATTGTGGCTTCTCAAACCCTGCACGAAGATTAAGCTTTGTGATTCCACCGGGCCTAAGAATGCTTATATAAGTTAAGGCCCAACACGGAAAACATGGAAACAGCCAAGTTTCTGAAGTCGAACGACCACCGATCGCCTCAGTGACTTACCGTCATCAGGGTTTATAGAGGTCTTGCATGCAAACAAACATCCTGGAATACCCAACGCATCAAACAACCACCAACCAGCCAAGTCACCATGGCATAGTACTCGAAGTAGTTTCCACTCGGGCATGTCTCGAAAAGGTGAGGGCCTTTCTCGTCGCAACCGGCTACCAACAGCCCCACTCCATAGGGACGCTTGGAGGAATTCCTGAGATGAGAATCACAAGGCATGCAATGGCCTCCAACCTACAAGCGATAGCCTCCAACTGAGGACGGGAACACATTCAGCATCGTCAAGCCTTACCAGTTCCTGCCACGCTCTCTCTCTCTCTCTCTGGGAGAGTGCCTCCCTCTTCCCTACGACCTCTTCAAAAAAGGCACAAGTAAGCATCCTCCTCCCTAATGCGACCGAAACTCTGCGTCTTTTGCTGGGACTTGTCAGCCACTTGTGCGACCAAACGGCCCACATTCATTGCAGAATCAAAGACATAGCGATGGTTCAAGCACCTAAAAACTTGGCTTGAATTGAATGCTGCATTGACAGTGGATAAGCTATACTATATATAATATATATATACTGTATATATTTTTCATTATTTTTCAATACTGGTGAGGTCGACCCTTCCAATGTTCGATTGGAACACATTTTCCCTGAAGCTGCCCAGGTGCTCATTTCGCATGTAGTCTGCCAAGACCCTTGCATCAGCGGTAAGTCCGGAAATGCCAATTGCCATATGGTCATCTACCTTGAAGATCTTCTGCCTGGGCATGACCAAGTGATTGTACATACATCATGATCATCGGCATTAAAAGGTACACGTGTAGGACAGCTCTGCTGCCACATGGTCCCAATACACATATCAACCCCCACTCAAGCACGTCGTGCAGAAAGTAGCCATTGAAATCCATGAGAGACTAGTTGGACTAGTTGTGGCTGCTGGAATCAGTTGGTCAAGTAATCGAATGATCACATTGGCCGCAACAGGAGGATCTATGATCACAAGTTAGATCTCCAGGATTCTAGTGTCTCAGAAGTGATGCCTCACGAGTCTCATCTTTCAGTCAAGCTGCTGATGATTGGCCAACTCTGACTGAGCCCTTTTGAAAGATACAAGCACCACATGGGTCTTGGAGCGCAAGCCCAAGACAGGCGTACCCTGCTTGACAGCCTCCATGGCATACTCAACCTGGATGGAAAGGGTTGTAGATCTTGTGCATTTCTGTTGGGACTGTCCACCCGCTTCCCTTCTCAGTCTTTTCCTCTATCTATCCACCTACAGTATGTACTCTGAATTCTCCCAATCTTTTACTAGGAACAAGTGCCACGCTAGTAGTAACAGGTGCCTTACTAGTAGTAACAAGAAGCTAAAGCTTATGAGTGGCAACTCTTGCACCAACAGGCCACACCACACATCCCTGTTTCAGCCTGCAAGATTCGCCCTGCAGGACTCCATGTGATGCAATCCATGTCATACTGATGGTTCCGGTACCTAGGACAAGCCATGGTACGCGTATGCTCTCGAACGTGCATGTGTCACAACAAGGAATACGATCACTTCATAACGTAATCGCAGCTCAACACAGCACATTTAAAAATGGCAGGAGTGCGACATATATGCCTCATTGAGCAGGTATAGCACACCCCCACCCCACCCCACCAGTGCAGGAAATCATTCAGGTCTACAGGGCCCAAGAATGCACAACACCAGCTTCCAAAGTCTGCACTGACTTAGGTTGAGTTGCATTCTGTCGACCTCTCAAGCCTTCACGGAAGCGGCCAGCTATGTGCGTGTCCCTCTGCTCACGAAGGGAGCTTCTTTGAGGCGAAAATGCCACGGTGACATCCAGGATCATGGCTACGTTGCTTCGTTTGCAGCTTGGGCTTCATGAGGCAAAGTACTCACCATGATTCATGATTGAATGTATTTACAGTAGTAGGCACTGAACGAATGCATTTTGTGGGTGAATGGTTATCCATAAAGTTCAACATGCACACCAGCAATCTCTCCTGCCTGCCGACTACTTCTACGTGCACAGGCGCTTTGCCTTGGCAAGGGCCGGTCAGCAATCTGACTTTATGTCAAATTGCTCTTCACTCTCTGCCAATTATCTCGCTTTTAATCCCCGAATCCCTTTATCCCTTTGGACTTTCCAATTCCTCGGGTGTGTCAAGTGGCGCGGTGGTGGAGCCTCCTCAGGCACAGCATCCACATCCTTACTGTGCCACACTGCGAGCTGCCGCTTGCCAACTTGTAAGTGTAGTCCACGTAGCGTGCGCTCACTTTCGCTTGCAGAAAGCAACACCGTGTAGGCGTGTGGAGGTGTAGGCCATAGGCAAATTTAAACTCGAGCTAGGCAACCAAATTCAATAAAACACACACTGACATGAACTGTAGTGATTTCCTTGGCTATTGACGACTTTCCTCATCACTCTCGTGAGGATGCCTTGCTCCTGGTCAGACTGGTCACACATTTTGGGTGTTCGCTTGGCAAACAGAAATCAGTGGAACAGAAGCCCTTGGTTCTTGTATCATGCCTCATCTAATCTCGAAAGATGACCCAACCTCAAGTAACCCTGGGCACTGGGCCTTGGAGTATGTTAGCAAACGACTGGTGGGGGTTAGAAACTGCAGAATTTCGAAGTCTCCAAGAATTTGGCTTAACATGGCTCAACACAGTTTTATACAACTGACCAACATGAGTCATGAGTTTACAATCCAAGCGCTTTCGATTAGAAGCTTAGGCAAAACAGTGATGACCTGTCTCTGGCGCGCAGCTTATACGACGTGTGGGATATAGTGCGAGTGTGAGTGCATCAGAGTTTTTAGCATGGTTCTTGTCGTGATCATGCTCATGTTGTTGGCGGGAGGCCCTCACAAAGTCTGGAACATTCTGGAGTCACATCCCGAACAAGTTTCGACCGCATGTGAGAGCAGCACTCACGATCACGTATGCTTCCAACTTTCAACAGGAACGAAACAATCAAATTCAAATGGCCCACCCACACACACACACACAAAGACGCTAAAGCAAGAGAGGAATAACGAAAACCCATGAATCGACGGAAAAGTAGTGAGACGAAAACACCTAAATGAGAAGACGACACCAAAACACAACAGAAACCCGAAAGGATGATGGAAAGGAACAAGGCCACAAGGCAAGGAACAAGGCATGGAAAAAATAGATCTTACCCCGCAAAAAACAAACTTAAAATAAACAAGGAAAAGCAAACTGGTTTCGCAGGCGGTGACGCTACAGTTTGAGAATCTCAATGTGCAAAGCGTGTCACTGACTGCTGGCGTCCTGAAACCAAATACTCTGTCGCGCATCAACTGCCGTGATGCGGCGGGCTGCTTCAGGGGCAACCATCCTCAAATGACAGCTGCACGGGCCAGCACGGGAATATATCAATTTGCTAAAATGCAAAAAATGCTGTCTCTCGAAACTCCAGGCGCCAAGGAAATTCCTTTGCCAAAGAAACATATTTATACAAATAATATTGTCTCTGTCCTGGACCAAGACCAATCACAAACTTCTGCAACCCAAGCCACTGCTTGCAAAAAGTTCGTGCAACAGCTGAATACCTGTCTTTCCTCGGCATGGTTAGCATGCAGCAACATGACTTTGCAATCCCATATAATAGTATTTACCACAGATCACGGTAGTGTCACTTTCAACAGTGGCTCAGATCTGACCGGCCCGGGCGCTACAATGGCAACATATTGATGAGGGCTGTACTTCCAAAGCCTTGTGTCACGACTTTGCTTAAACGTAAAAGGGACTAAGTGAACTTCCCAGCTTTCACCTTGCCAGTGGTGCTACTAGCAGCCAATTTGGCTGGTAATCAATTTGGACAAATACACTTGCTGCTCAGGTACGGCATAGCAAAACCCAAGAACCCACTGCTGACGCTGAAATCCAAATGCCCAGACAGCAAAGACTGCTGGTCCAGCTGATGACCTCAATGCCAATATATGTCAAGCTGTTAGATCAGTTTTTGTCTCATGACTGAATGCCAGAAAAGACTTCGAACTACCCGAGAGTCCTGAGACTAGCGAACAATTTTAGATGTTGTACCGACTTTGTACGCAACACTTGGGAACAAACAATCAACACCGCCACTGACAAAGCAAAACTGCTTGTTTGATGCATTTGGTATGCTCATGGCATGTACCAAAGTCAAATCAAGCGGCTGTTGAGGAGAAACGGATGCTTGCCTGCAAACATCACCATGTACCTCGGGGATGCTGGGCGTGAATGCAGCGGCAGCAAGTCGAGAAGCTTCAGTATCAGTATCATTCAGTATCAATAGTTTTGGCATGACAATTTCTGGGATGGCAAACCTACACGAACGCTTGGCTTCATATATACCTTCTTGCACGGGGGTTAATGTTTTGGCAAAGCAACCACGCCGCAAACCAAGCCAGGGAACATTGTAATGCCAGCAGCCCAAACATCGCAAGCGTGAGAATAACCTTCAGCATAGAATGTGCAAATGCAAACAGGGCGGATACGTACAGTCTAGAGTGGGCAGCCCGTCGGTTCTGCAAAAGGTATTGCTATGCATTCCTGCATGGCAGCGTTTGGGGTGACAGCAAATCTTCAAAGGGGGTGTTGTCGTCAAAGTCTACTGGGTGTGTGAGCCGGAAGCAATGCTTTCTGACCACCAAACATTTCATCAAAGTCTCGTGCTTATCTGCTTATCACTAGCATGAGCTGCGGTTACTTCTGCCGGTTAACCTTCTTACTTATCTTACTTCAGCAGGCATGCAGCATGCATGCTGCACCTACGCCGCTTACGTGGGCATGCGTCCGACAACCAAAGGCCAGCCGCCTGTCCTACAACATTACTGGCTTGAGGACGTCATGGATTTAGGAACCATGTTGACCGCTCAAACTCATGGGATCAGCCAAAAATGTTCGATGATCTCCTCAGGCGATACTGCGCAGGCATAAACAATATACCCAAAACATACCAACAGTTACCAGGCACTTGTTTAGTTTACACTTGATTGGTGACTTTTTGTGCCAAAACATTATGCTCAATGATGGCTGCGGCTTCTTGTCAAAGTCGCCTCGGCTGTCTTGTGGCAGCTGATGCTGCTCAGGTGACCTGCAAAGAAGGGAACAATTTTTCGAAACAACTAACTAATGACTAATAACTTCGTTACAAGTCTGCTTCTCGAAACAAGTCTCAAGTGAATTTAACTGTTCAGCGTGCTTTCTTACTTCTTTGTTTGCTTGATTTGAACATTGAACAATCGAACGAAACAGCAACTGAGCGACCGGCAAAACTAGGGGTCGTTTGGTGGTACGTTTAGAGCATGGTATCGTTTTTGGGATTGGTATCGTTTTTCAATCCATATGCAATTTCTTTGGGGGAGGTATCGTCTGAATGCAATTTGCTCTCGAAGGTGATCTTGCAAATGATGACTAGTAGTCGTCGTGTACTACTACTAGTACTACGTATATAGTAGTATTATAGTAGTAGTAGTAGTAGTAGTTGTTGTTGTTGTTGTTGTTGTTGTTGTTGTGGTCGTGGTCGTCGTCGTGAAGTAGTAGTAGTAGTAGTAGCAGTAGGAGTAGGAGTAGCAGTAGCAGTAGTAGTAGTCGTCGTCGTCGTCGAAGTAGTGGTAGTAGTAGTAGTAGCAGCAGAAATAGAAGTAGTGGCAGTAGTAGTGGCATGTGAGTGGGCAGGTGGTGCCTGAGGGGATACAGACCTATGAAGTGGGTATCGTTTGGTATCGTTTTTGGTATCGGTCTGAACCCATAATTGTTTCCCATCGAAGAAAAAGAAGGGATAATTAGCAAAAATGACATGGAATGTCCAGCTAGCATGGCAAACCATATGCAAAAAAACCTTGGACATACACTGTCTCGAGTGTCAACATTGTCAACAGGCAAAGATAGATTCCAAGATGTGTACCGTCACAAGGCTAGGTATCGTTTTTGGGATTGGTATCATTTTTTTTCAAGGAAAATGCAAATTGCTCATTTTTGAAGAAACGTGAGCGCCGACCTTTAGCACTTTGCTCAACTTTTCTGCTCGAACTGTCTCACAGTCTCACACCCTGCATCAAAGGGGTACCGGGTACAGCCACCATTCAGCCAGGCGTCATGAAGGCAGGAGTTCCACACTTGTCAGTGAGGCGTTGGCCCCAGGGTAGATGCACCGCCAAACCAAAATCTGAAAGCTTCAAGACCTTGGCGGCAACGGTGAATTACCTTTCACTTTAGCTGAAGCTAGTTGGAAAAGGCAAAGGATGGCAAAGGCAACTGCATCACATGCCCAAATGAAGGGTCGTGAAATCTGGCAACATGATGCCACGTGTCACCCGCAGAGAGAACTGCTCGACGCTGCTCCTAGCCCACCCACAAACATCATGTAGCACACCCCGCCAGCCTCATCATGAACCATGAAGTTGTCTGGCTTGATATCGCGGTGACAAATGTTCTTGCAGTGCAAAACCCAAATAGCCGAGATGATCTGATACCTTACCACAGCAAAAATGGTAGCACTTGCATTGCATCACTGATCTACGCAGTTTTACCACAAGGGAGGTCATGCTGTGTGAAGTGATCCATCATGCTTTCAATCAAGTCGCATCCATTTGGCAGCCACCCACTCCTCTAAATCCATCCCCTTCTCCCGAACCTGTCCAAAACAGGCGAGCCCATCAGGAAACATGCTTACAGTATTTAATAACAACACGATCATGTCTGACTTCTTGATCTCTGAAACTCGCGAGCTTGTGCCTTGTCGCCGAAGTCACCACCATTGCCTCGCAAACATGCCCAGATTGTGTGACATGTTGCTAACAAAGTTTAGCTGCGTTGGGAGGGCCCCAAAACTGGGACAACAAATCAACTATATAGTAGGAGTTGTCAGCATGGTGCACTGGTGCAGTGCAGTCTGACGATACAACGACCCTTCAGCAAAGCTGCAGTACTCCAACCTTAGCTCGGAAGCATTCCAAACACATGCTAGACTTGACCAGCCAGGGCAAGCACATGCAGCAATTGAATCTATGCCAAGAAGCGCCAGAAAAATGCTTTGTGCATCCTCCCACGAGCCATAAAGCTTGGTGACATTCCTGGGTCTGGGTAGGCACCAGAAAGAACGTAACGATGTCGAACCGAGACGCAGGACTTGCACGAGTTAGCTCTGGTATGCACTTTCACTGCCGATTGCTGAAGTTCAATTTGCTCACATCTGAACACTACACTGACTGCGCGAAACGACCAAAGACTCCCAGTCAACCAATTACAAATTAATTTGAAGCCCTGCGCCAAAATGTCTCTGTGTCGTGTGAGTGCCACCACTAGCTGCAGCAAGGTCTCTCATGATTCACTGCCTGCATCACGGAATATCAGGGGCAGATTTGCTCCAGCCAGTGTAATTAGCTTATCACTTAGATTAGTTTGAAAGATTCTATCCTGAAAGGCTGAGACCGGCAGGAGTTGTACAGATTCCTAGCATGCAGCACGCATAACCTACAAAGAAGAGTGCCCGTGGCCACAAATGGATTCAGGTGCAGTGCTTATATATTGGCTTAGTGGCTCGTTTGGGCCTGATTCATACCAATCCAAACCACACGGCCTGCATGACTGAAATCTCTCGTTCGATATCAGCACGACGGACTCCACGCTTGGGCAAAACAGCCTGCATACGGGCACTTGGTTGGCTGTTTGTATGTGTTCATATGTACCTAACTATTATGTCATTATGTATTCTGAGCTCGATGAATGGTCGTCTCGATGCATGTGTCCGTATGTCTTTCCAAACCCCTCAGCTCTTGGCTCCAAAACTAGCCGCCAAACAAACCAAGAAAAAAACATCTGCATGTGCAATGCACATGCAACATGGTGCGGGAATGAGGACCCTGAAAAGCCTTGTCCAGCTGTTTCACTGCCACGGTGGTGCTTGTCTGCCTGCAGGACAAGTTCCTTCAGAGCTGGAACGCTCAGGTTGCTTATATTGAATACCACTATCACGAAAATATACGAAAATAGAAGTATATGACTTCCATGTAAAGTCATTGCCTCTTTGTGCCTTCCTTTGTTTGTGCCCATGTGTTACCATTCACAACGGCCTGTCGACGGCTCGCCAAACAGTGCCAAAAGATCCTTCTCCAAGCTTCACCTTTTGAAGGAAGTACCGCCTCAGCTGGCGAGGGTGACCGTCATATGAAGCATATGAGCAAAATCAGGTGACTGCAACAGCGAGGTTCAGTTTGTTTGTGTTAAGCACTCTTAACCTGTGTCATATATAAATTAAATACGGCCCTTGGTGTACTCTAAGCAATTCAATCTTTGCAAGGCATTTATATACGCAACCCATCACTGCGAGCTCACATGAAAAGTGAAGAGCGAACAAACCAGAGAAAACTTCTAGTAGGGTCGCTCTGGCCATCTGGCTGCTTTTCAGTGTTTCCAGCGGTCTAAACCGGCAGGTTTGCCACTGCGCGCACGACCAAGTGACTCTTGGGCGGTTTCGCCGAGGGAAACTCCTTGTCCCATCTTGGCCTAAGCCACCCGCTTGGCCCACTCAAGAAACACCCGACATAATCAACAAAAAACAGGAGCCTGGGAGGCCACGAGACATGGAACAGTACCAGAAACACAACACAAATGGATGCAAACCAGGTGGTTTCACCGTTTGACATGACAGGCGTTTCTGCCTCATTCAGCCATGACTCCGCCGGCCCTCAAAGCAGGAGTACGTCAAGTCGCATCGCTGGGCATGGCTTCCAACGCACCAAGCGCGGCGATGCATTCACTTTCCAAAAGCATCTTCGAGACAAACTGTTCTCATCTTCAGGCTTCCAAGGAAAGGGTTGCAAGAAAACGCTGGCATTGTCGATACAAAAGCAGCTGCTGCAGTTGTTACATATCATCTCACTGCTAGTTTCATTCCCGACATGTTCCCATCAGCAAGTTTGACATGCTCCGTCACTTCTATTATCGTGTCTTAGAGATACTGTGCAGTTGCTGAGGCGCCTTCGTGGCACCAAGCGATTCGATGGCTAGTAGTGGATCCAAGCGATTCGTGCGCAGCGAGTAGGCAACAGGAGTCTTCACTCACATTCGAAGACCCGGAATTTGCAGTGGTAAGAAGCTCCTCGAATTGACCCTCATCAAATGCGAACACAGTGCCACTATGTGCTATTCAGGGCTTGACTTCTGCTCTCTCTCTCTCTCTCTGTCTCTCTCCCTCTCTCTGCAGCTGGCAGAATATATTTCTACATTTGTGGCTGCAAACCCTGCTAGCTCGAGCTGAGGAAACCGCAGTGAGGGCCTCAACCGGTGCCTAGCAAAGGTGCAGGATACAGGTGCTAAGTGCAGCAAATCTCAGACTCATGTGGCTGTGGAATGCCAGCAGCTCCGTCCAACGATGCCACCTTTTGGAAGAGGGCAAATGATGCAACAGCCTCTTCTGTCGGGAGAGGGAACCATACATAACATCATGTCATATACATACACTGTGTAGATACCTGTGCATATTATATGCATATTTATAGTTTTGTTATATTGACAGAAATTGCTTATACGACACCATAAATTTTTACTACAGTAAATATAAGTGTGAATCTGCGCGCTGCCACAAGCCTCTGCACGAACACCCAGCAAAAGTGCAGGGCACCCTTCGCCATTCACGGCCTCGCAGTCTTGTTTCTCACTCAGGTCAAGGCACTGCTCAGGCCGGCGAACGCATATGATACATCCTCCAAAAAAGAAAACGCGCAGATTATCAATCCAAGGTCAAAACCAAGAGGTCTGCACCTTGCTGCAAGAGTTTTGTCCTGCGCCGCAGCATTCCAGCGTCATTCATCAATCAGAATGTCGTTACGATCGTTACGTTGGTCAACTGCACACATAGAACCCGCAAAGGCCTGAGGTAATCCTGAGGTCGGTTGGCCTTTCTCGCATCTCCACCGTCTTGACCTCTCCCCCACCTGCTACCTCTAAGGTGCCTTGTTAGTAGTAGTTTCTTGTTACTAGTAGCGATGCCAGGAGCTACTAGTAGCGATGCCCTTGTTACTAGTAGCGATGCCTACCCTCTTTCCCACCCCCCTGTAGCGACTGGAAGAATAGCTCCGCTCCGCTGACCATGCCATGCTGACCCTTGAGGCTCTCACAACTTGGAGCTTTCACAGGCAGAGCCCTTGGCCAATTCCAGGAACAGGCCCGCGGTGGCCATTACCACCTCGTGCAGAAGTTGATGGTCAAGGCAGGGAACACCACTTGAAAGTGTATGAAACTGTATGTAACTGTTTCACCTGCACTGCACTTCTACCAAACCTATGATGGCAAACGATGGGGGTTGTCAGAGTGCTGGTTTGAAAGCACCACTACCACACATCTGGCGTCGGGCATCAAGTGAGCGGACGATTGAGGGGCAAGAATCGTTGCATGCTTGCTTGCTGAGTGAGTGACATCTTCATCCGCAATTCGCCACACATGTTGAGGGTGAACCTGGGAAGATGCTTCCCACAATGAGAGTCACATCAAGACTGTCTTGTGCAGCTTCTTGCAGGTTGTTTTTGAAGGCTTTAAGAGCGTTTAACTGCACAAAACATGAGGGCCGAGCAGTCCAAATCTGAGTTTAACTTAAACCAAAAGCAGAATTGTCAGATCTAAGTACCCTGCCCAACTTGGAGCTTGGCCATCTCTCCAAGAGATGAGGAAATGCCCCTTGCAAAAGTGTGGATGTTGACACCAAGCTTCTTTGGACGCTAAACTTTGAAAGGTTACGACGCTGAGAAGGTGGGGCCAAGCCGACGATGGTGCAAAAGAGGGCTCTGAGAAAAGCTCCGCGACAAAACTTTCACTTTTCTCATCCAAACTTGCCGTGTCAATCTGCACATCCTCCAAAAAAAAGCGCCTCTTTGGTGGTCTCCGTCGCTGCTTCAGCTGAAGCAGCCTGTGTTACCCACAGTGGGTCTGCACCCAGAACTTGAAACGTGAACCTTTTCGGCAAACACGGCCAAAACAAACACCAGTTGAACATTTGGGGTATTATCTGGCCACGTCACTGCAGTCTTCTACTCATCCAATAACACAAGACACAACGAATGCAGCTGACGCAAATCGCATGCCTCTGGAGGAGCTTCTGTGGCTACAGCTTCAGTAGGAGCACCTGATCAGCATTGCGTTTTCACGGTTCGCTTTTTAAAAAGAGGCCCCTCATCTCTGCAAACAGTCTATCACTTAGGAGTCGATGAAGTTTGGTTGCTCTAGCCAGTGACGAAAGGCACTTTCAGCAATGAAAAAGAAGGGATAATCTGGGGACGATTGACGACCCTATCTAATCTCAGTGCCCCCACTTGATCCAGCAGCATCACCTCAAGTATGTTTTGTACAGCTTTTGCAGCTCCAGAATCTGAAATGGCAAACGAACCTTTCAACAGGTATGTATCCTATGTTTTATGTCCTATTGTTTAGCTAATCACACCGCAAACTCCTAGCAAAAGCGTGTTCAATTCCGAATCCTGTCAATCAAAAGCAGAATTACCCAAATGCTCAAATGCTTAGGCATTTGCCTGGCGACTCATCGGCCTCAATCAAGAATGCTACTTCAAAGTGATCAAAGGGAAACTGTTAGCATCTTTCTTCCTGTGAGAAAGCATAATTAGGTACGTTTGCATATTCTCCGACCTCTTAAATCAGCATCCGTGTTGCAAAGCTGCAACCAGCGTCCCAAGGCCCCAAAGGCTACTTAAGAGCAGCCAATATAACACTAAATTGAGAAGGTGCATGGGAAATTCGGAGTGTTGCTTTATCAATGTTCGCGGCGGCTGGCACACCGGTACACAAAAAGGTGGGTCCCCCAAAAAGACGTATCGTAGTGACCAGCAATCATTGCATATGAGGCATTCCAAAAAGCACGCAAAAAGAGAGGAACATACAGTATATCGATCGTCCATTCCCACAGCAAACGGCACTATTATCACATCCTTTGCTTATTAACTCATATCTCTACGATTTTAATCATCTTAGTTGGTGCCTCAGATCGTTGAAGGTGACTGGGGATTCCACGTCTGCCGCTGCACGTCGGCCTGTCAGGTCGAAGTAGACTGCTATGCCGGCTATATGCCCTGCAATGGTACTTCTAAATTCTAAAGATTTCTAAAGACTTCCTTGCATCCAAACTTACCTCAAAGGAACTCCAAACACCTGCAAGAGCTGCCAAACACTCTCAGCCATAGTTTGGAAGACATACACTCTATATATACTGCTTGCTACCACCATTGACAGCAGTTGTGGTTGGATCCTTGACGCAAGGTTGATGCACTGACTGGCCACTTATGGAGAATCAAGTCAGGAACCCTCTCCATTGTGCCTGTTGCCAGAGTTGCTGCAGCAAGGCCCTCAGTCGAAAGGATTTGGCATACTGGGGGCGGGAGCATCCAATTAGATCAATTTAGAATCATGACATATCCAAGCACTTACATAAGTTAGGTCTGCCAAGTCATGGAGTTCTGGAGATCCTAGTCAATAACGATATACAATATTGCGTATTATTGCAGCGTCTTTGTTCCTAGTAGTGATGCCAGGAGCTACTAATAGCGTCCTTGCTACCAGTAGCGATGCCCTTGTTGCTAGTAGCGATGCCCTGTGCTTATAATATATAAGCTATAAACATATAGAGACGCATGGAAATTCTGTTTTTCACAACACAGATTTGTAGTCCCGTCCGAGAAGCGCCTGCTTCTCTGGACTCATGTCCGACCGAAATAGCCATGACTGGCCTAACACCTGCAAGTGTCCAAACCCAAAACACGCGTTGTCAGCCAGAAAGTCCCAGGCAGGCGGAGGAGGCAATGGCCGGCTGAAGCTTTCCAAAAAGCGCTTGGGAGGTTGCACCTCAAAGACGCCCGGATGTTCAAGGCCCCGCAACTGTCAACAGGCGCAGGTATGACACAATCTTCCCACAAAACTGATATATATATATATATGTGTATATATATATATATTGTTCTTAGTACTGGGGTCAACTGATGAAAACATATAGAAAAATAATGAAACATGTGGTTTGTCTTCTGCCGCAATTTGGGCAGTGGCTTTGCAAGGGGTACCCCAAAAAAACACATAGGATTTGTCTGAGGTGTGAGATGGGATGAAGCTCCCTGGTCACCTTAGCCTTAGCCTCCCAACCACACGTCCTTCATCCCAGTGCTCTTGTCCTTCTGATGGTTCGCTCCGAATCGCCCAAACCAAGTCGTTCGGGGCCTGGCAGGGAATGGTTAATACAAATGAATAATAAATAAGATGAATAAGGCTAAAAACTACAAGAATTCTTGAAGATCTCGAAGTGAATATGGCGATTGCGGCAACGACTGCACCACATCTAAGTTCATGTTTTATTCGATGTTGCCACAGTGTCAACGGCTGACAGGTGGCACAACTGTATCAATGGTTTGGTCTCATGGCGCTTATATAATGAGCCCCACATAAACAGCACACGCCACGCTGATTTTTGACTTGAAACCTCTTCCCATTCCGGCCTGGCCGAATTCACCACCACCTAGGCCCATTAGCCTCTGTGTGAGCTCCTCAGCGAAAAAAGAATCGTCAACATGAAATAGCTGTGGACTACAAGTCCTCCGCACACATCTCAAATTGGCGTCAGGCTCCAGAACCGTCTGCATCCGCATAGGCCATGCATGGCCATGCTGTACGGCCAACACTTTAGTGTGTTTGTTGTGCTTATTGCAATGGTCCAATGGGCCGGGACACATGTTCGCAAAGTTTGTTCAATCGATGCTGCGAAATGCTCCGACAGGCAGCTGTGTCAAGCTGCAAGACAAAAATCCTCACACGGTGCCAGTTCTATACACTCTGGAAGCGGCTGCTGCTTGCCTCCAAACAGCATTGCTGTGAGGATGCCCTGAGGGTGAGACAGAATTTCAATTTTCGTTATTCAAATTTATTAATGCGATTTATTTGAAGAGGTATTTCTGTTACAGTGGCTGCAATCACTAGTCAGCCCATTTGCGCGGATCTGATGTCTGGTCTATGATCAGCACCAGGGTGTCTTTCATCAGTGGGCGAAGGGCTTGAATCCACGAACGCCTGAGAAGGAAAGGTCATGGCTCATGATGTAGGAAAAAGGGCGCGACAAGGGCTGGGGGACATGACAAAGGTCCCATCATTTGTTCACTTCTTTCTGCCCGTCTCAAGTCTTCTCAGGCATCAGGGGGGCCTATGTCAGTAGACTTGCTTCACTTGCTGGACCTGAGCGCGCCCATGCGTGCCTCGTTTCATCAATTTCCGAAGCGTTGCAATGTCGCAGCCTGGATCTTTGGATGCTTGGGCTCAACATGGGTCAACATGGCTCCAGGCTCCAAGCTCAGGACACAAGTCGAACTGAGAAGATGAGAAGCTCTATAGTAAACTTGTATGCCTTTCACACTTTTTGGGCTGCAAGTCCAAAAATTAAACAAATGACAAGTGACGGGTCCAGCACCATTAGCATCCGGATGGTTCCCAACGAAGCGCGGAAGATAGCGCGAGCCAACTGGACGCGAAAGGCTTCAGGCTTTGTCATGTAAGAGCTCCACTCTGTACATTCAATGCCTGGGTGTTACTCTGTCTTGCCCAAAAAGCAAAATGCTCTCCCGGTGAGCACATGAGGTGACTATTTGTAATGTGCAGTAGTACCCGCATGCATCAATAGTCAATGGTGTGTGGGCGACTTGTCTGCGAGGGTGCCAAAACGAGACACGCAAATCAACTGCACATTTAGCGGAATATGTTGCCTCGATCAAGCTAAGGTGCCATGTGGGATATTTGCAACCTGATCCCAAATCCCTGCTTGATGCAAGCATGCATCTAATGGTGTGCCAACATCCTCCAAATCAAGCTGAACCTCAGGCCGCATAGAAACACTATGAAAAACTCCTGAGGGGCAAGCATGTGCAGTAAGATCCCAAGCCTTGGTACCGACAGCTAAGGTAGATCCCCAGGATTTTACATATTAAAATCCTACCGAACCAAGGTGACTTTCTAGTTTTTCAGTGGTGCCCTAGGTTTTTTTCCCGAGAGGTGCTTGTTATAAAATCCTTTGGGCCAATGTGTGTCAAGGGGTTGGGAACCAAGGAAAAAACAAGGAGTCCGGGCAGATCAAATGCTTATATATAAGCAAATGCTGGGTATCTACCTTAGCTGGTCCCTCCAGTGCCCTCCCAAACCTTGGCTGGTCCCTCCAGTGCCCTCCCAAACGCACTCAAGCGGCGAGCATATTTATTACATAACACAAAACCCCCTACGTGACCGTTTAAAATTGTGCGCCGGGCTTCGGTACAAAGGCAAGAGAAAATCAAAATGACAGAAGACCCAAAACGTTCCCCAAATTCTTCCGGGAATCAGAGGTTTTACAACGACATTTCTTAGAAAGTTGGAGGTTTCGTGCCTTCCGAAACAATGAAATTTTGGGAAAAATTCGAGCGACGTACCACTAGGCGATTCGGTGACGTTGTGGTTCGAATCCCCCCCTGGACATCTTTTTTCGATGGATACAAGATCCTCTCCAGTATCTCTAAAATCCTAGCCCAACCCCAGTATCTCGACCTTCTGAAATCCTACAGCTTCAGCAAAATCCTATAGTCTAACATATTTTTGGAATCCTGGCTCCTAACCTTCAGCAAAAGGATTTCAACAAAACTTATTTCTGCTGTTAATTTCCTGGGGCCCTACCTGATTTCCTTTTTCTAGAGTTTTTTCTGAACTTTTTTCTGTTTCTGAAATCTGGTGGTCTACCCCTAGGATTTCAGTATGGCGCAACCAAGGGGGATCAGTAAGAACTCTGGTGGCCTGTCCTTGTTACCTCACTGAGAAGCTCACAGCAAAGGACTATAAAGGACTGCTAAAAACGTTCAACTCTCCACCACTCTCCCCTCGTCAAGCACCGGTTAGAAGGGAAGAGTGAGCTTGTTTGTGGCCAATCAAGGAGCATATTCTGCAAGAGTGTGGCCTTGTCCAGGGGTTCTGGCAACGCTGGAGGGAAGCGGCGCATGATCAATAACATGAATGGCAAAGTTCAAGGTCTCCTGCAAGAGAGCATGGCTGTTGTTCTCCAATAATAATGAGATGTTTGCTCCAGCAAATGCATGCAAATGCTAATACTACAGTAATATCCTACAAGAAATGTTTCCTGGCTTCGGGTTGCTGCATCCACACCCATGCCACCCCTGCGGATTGAGCCCTTCATTCGGAAAGGGATCGCATCAATCGGCCGAGACGAAACAAAAAATGGAAACTGAGGTCCTGCTCATATTGCTCCACATGTTCCCCATCGATCTTCACCCGTGCCGGCGCATCGACAATGCGGAGGAAGATCTTCGCCAAGGTCGTCGCCCCAGAGCCGCGAGGCATCGCCCAGGCGTTCAGGGAGCCCGGCTTCACAGAAGCAAGGGGTGGAATTTGAGCAAAGGGGCCGAACCTGGGCCAATTCACCGGGGGCTCCGGCATGTCTGTGGTTAATGAGGCTGCCGCGGCTATTCTCTCAAGGTCCCATTTGATCCCATGCTCCCCGAAATTGAATCGTCAAGAGTCAAGAAAACTCATGAGTTTTGCACTGGTCTAGGTTGCCACCTCCGGCTGCCCCAATATTTGGGGTGGAGGCTCAAGCAGTCGGATTGTCTACAGTCCTGAGGAAGGCAAAGCGATAGCCAGGCTATGTATTATGTACCACGCGCACACGCATGTGAGAATATTCATGGTCATGGAGTCATACAAGCAAATGTCAAAACGTCTTTGATCTGAGAGGCTGCGGCGAACCCAAAGAGACTGTGAAGCTGTGGGGGATTTCCACCATGATGCGATCTGAAGCAATTCGGTTGATGCCATCAAAACGAGGTGTCGAGTATCGCAATAGGGCCCGGGAGAGCAGGAATAAGCGCTCCAACGATCCTCACGTGCGCTCTTCAACTCTCTGCTGCTTGTTGGCGAGCAGTTGGTGAACATCAGCTGAAACAAAGCACGTAGCCAAAAATGCATGTGGCTCTAAGGCACTAAGCACAAGGAATTCACAAACATTATCAAACATTCATAAGCATTCTAGCAGAAGTATGCAACAAATCCTCCTTCGAAATTGGCCTCAAATTGTCAAAACCCGACGTTTGGCTTGTTCAGACAAACCCAGGCTCACGGTGCACAAAGGCAACAAGAAAATCAAAACCTCTGGATGTTCAAACCTATGATATAAACATTAGGACAACACATGTAAACGTCCGGGCTCGAGTGGAATTCGACTTGCATGGGATAACATCTGCATCTGTGTGTTGAGCCTTTGATTGCAGTTCAACTGTGACATATGTCGGAAATGCTGTCGGATTTTTTAAATATGGCACAACCATACAATAGAATGAAGGCGCCTGTCGTTAAAGAAAAGGAACCCGCCGGGTTGAGATTGGTCCCGTGCACCCTGATCAGTTTGCTGATTTCACCTGCTTGAATTATTCAGCCAACCCGGGTTGATGGATTTCTTAGAGGAAATGTGCACGGGGATTGCGAGGATGTTTTCACCCCACAAATCCCACCAGCCAAGCGACCAACAGATGCGAAAAGCTGCAGCAATGCTTCGCTAGCTCGACGAAGTGCACTCAGAAGGATGGGAATGGACATAGCTTCAATAGAATAGCTGTGCAAACCTGGGGCAAGTGTTTGAATCCTTCCTGTGGCTGTGTGTTGTGTTTCTCCAGGCTCCCAGACCTGAAAACACATCGCAACACACTAGTTATCACTATAGTTATAGTACTATGAGCCCCGCACTGGCTTCCTGCGAAGACCTAGCAGGAGCCCAGACCCCCTCGATGTCTCCCCCTCCGTTCTAAACAAGGGTCGGGCCAACTTCTAATATTGTCTCTAATTGTTGTACTGGAATAAACTAGTGCAGTCAGTGTGTGGCTTTGAATAAGCAATCAACTCTACCAACGTCCCACGAACTTCATCAGGCCCGCAGGCACAATGCCAAAGCACAGCTGGTGTCGGTGCTGGAGTGGACAATGCGATATAAGGCTTGCGTGAGAGCAGCAAATTCAGTGACGCGCAAGAAAATTGAAACGACCTTGCACGGGGGTTGTGGCAAAAGGCCAAACACACAAATAATCTGACATAGTAGTTTGAACCATTGGTGATGGCCACTCGTTGGTGATGGCCACTCGTTGCTGGCCCTTGGAAAACAAAGTCTAGGTTTAAGGGCCCGATCCATGATGGACCCGTCCCAGCTGCCCAGCCGCCTGATGTATTAACAGGAGCCTCTTTCGTTGTTCCAGGCTCGCACCCTGGATTGTTTCATATGCAGCGGTCGTGGAAGCAAATAGCTCAGGGATAAACTTGGTCTCAAAGAAGTTGCTGAGGCTCGTGAACATATAAGAGTACAAGTATCCTCGACTGGCAGCCTCCTACGACAAATGTAGCAACAAAATGCAACAACGCTGCAAGAAAGCCATCCTTCAACCGTATGCAACCCAAGATCATCCAACTTAACCGTATGCTACCGTATGTATAGATCATCCGCGAAACACATCGAACATGTGCGAACTGTGTCCCAGGAACCGATCATGCTTCTAGACATTCGAGACGCATGTCTGAGCGAAAAGCCAGCAAGTAATGATATTGCCACCATGCTAACGCCAGTTGAAAGTACCAACCTTGCTTCTCATGAACACTTGAAGGACTTGCGCGATCCAAACTTTGTGGACAACATGGGGCCGAACATAGCAAAGCTTTGATGCTTGCACACCCAGCTGCAAAAGAGTTCCCCAAATGGCTGAATCACAAGAAGGTTCCACGGACGAGGACAGGACAAAAAAAGCACCAATAGCAGTAAGAGCTTCAATGGTGAGTTCACTACCTCGGGATCTGCCCACAGCATCCCACAGCCAGGATGACTCTCTCATCATGCATGCCTGCATGCCCTACATCTATCCCTAAGTGTTGCTGCAAAGTTGCAGGACTCCAGCACACCTTGCAATGCACGGGTGTCACCCACCAAACGGCTCCAAACTTCTGAAAACATCCTGCCAGGCCGCAGGCGATGCAGGCGATAAGTTCGGCAAGTTCATCGTTCAATCAGTTGCAGTTCACCGTCCCGAAGAAGTGCAGAATTGGTTTGTTAGGTTCCCTACCCCCGATGCAAAATCTGATCTTTTTGTATACTTCTGCGATCTTCTGCGGCTGTGTGGCTGAATATCTCAAACTCAAAAGCATGACTCCGGTCCTCGTAGAGAAGGCATCGGCTTTTATATTCAGCAAGGCCAAAAACATTGAGGAAAGCACGTTCAGCATGGCATGGTTAGATGCAGAGATGAACAGCCAGGCGCCCAGTGCATTCGCCGCTGCTGCACAAAGCAACCAGTAAGCCGACACCTGGTAGCAACAATTGAGACATTGGGCTGATGAACGGTCATTATCATCTGCCACTGAATGGTTTAAGCCACATGTGTCGAGTATGGGCTTGTTGATGTTTGTTGCCAAGGTTAGGAGGAGCAATTCCGTCAATGCCTATTTTTGTAAGGTTTCTCTGTATCAAACTGAAGGCACAAACACCACAACATGAAGATGTTTTTTCCGCTCTGGCTCTGAGGTTCCCAATGCCTGTTCCACTTGCGTTAACTTCATGAGTGCTCAACATTGTTGTACAAAAAAGAGAGCCAACTACTGGAGGAAAAACATAGGATGTTACATTGGAAAGCGTACCGTTTGTTTGGGCCGACTCGGGTCCAGTCCAGAACTTCTCAAAGCAAATAGAACTTCCCAGCCAGGCCCCTGGAAACAATTCCAGCCAGGCCCCTGGAAACAATTCAATTAAAATCGTTGTTATTTCTTACGGCCATCGCAGCGCCTGCTGTGAATAAGGAAAGCACGTACCAGTTGCTGTGCCTAAACTTCTAAACCTCAACGACCCCGCAACTGTCTTTTCACCTTCCATGCCGCCAGCCGCTCACCAAAACAACCTCTCAGACGTATTTCAGTATGCAACAGTTCCCTGACAGTACAGTACATGATTCTTGGCAGGCACAAGTAATGTGTGTTTAAAAAAATAACTTTTGTTTTCATTCACAGCTGGCTGCCGCTGGCTGCGAACAAAACAACAGGCAAACACATTGAAATGAACAGTGCTTTGCTTAAATTAATCGCGACACCAGCCACGAACCCAGATGCAAACAGGTGCTTACTTGTTGTTAACAAGTACGTATGAGTCGAGGCTTCGTTTTTAGAAAACAGCACGTGTCCAAACTGCATGTGTGTACAAAATATATAAGTCTGTATAATCCGGGACACAGAGATAGAAGAAATGTTTCGAATATTTCAAA